CTTTTCACACCCCTCCAGCAGTGAGCAGGCAGGGGGTGCCCAAGAAGTTGGCTAGAGCTGGAACAGCAGACTCCAGCTGACCACAGGCATATCCCATACCATATGGTGTCACATTCAGCATAGAAATCTAGGGGAAGAAGGAACCTGATTTTAGAATTGGACAGATCACATAACTGAAAAATATGCAAATAAAAAACTTGTGTTGATGTTCAAACAACAGAGGTATGTGAGAAAGAAGTAGTGGGATTAACATTCCCATGTACTTCAAAACTGGTTATTTGGATATAGCCTTCTTTGGTCACTGAGGATCTTATTTGCATTAATCTCTAGCTTAAAGAGCACTGTGTTGAAACAATTATATTAGTAAGCTATTCCTAACTGTTATGCAAATTTCTGCTATGTATTTTTGAGTTAGAATCCAGAAAACAAAATTTTCTTTTTGAAACTTGACACAGAGACAACACAAGAAGAGCAAACAGAAGCACAGAACTTGGCAAACTTTATTTGTAGCCAGCTTCTTGTTCCTTATGTATCTGAATTAGATTTTTCCTTCTTTTTAATTCCATTTCACTTCTTTGTTCCTTTTAAAGAAGACTGAAATTATTCTGGGATATGCTTTTCAGAAAATCAAAATTCAGAGGGAAATAAATTCTTTTTGCAAAAGCTCATTTTAACTCTGGTTTAGGCCATTCCAGCTTTCCATGAAGCTCCAGTTTCAGTTAGGATTGGCTTTTCACTTTACCAAAAGTGTGGTTTACAACACAGATTTCTTTCACGGTTGGAGGAAAAAAAATGAACATCTTCATACAGCAGCAGTTGTCAGATCAGATAATTGTAGAATAATGAGGTTGGAAGTGACCACTGGCAGTCTCCAGTCCAACCCAACTTCTTCTCAAAGTGATACCAATATGAGATCACACCATATTGCTCATGACTTTATCCTGTTAGGAAACATCCAAGGATGGAGATGGCAAAACCTCTCTGGCAACCTGTTCCAATGACAGACAGCCCCCGTGGTGAAAAAGTTTTCCCTTGTAACATGCCTGAAACTCTCTTGTTTCAATTCAAGCCAGTTGTTTCTCACCCTGTTGTCATGGAGCACTGTGAAGAGGATGCCCTTCCTGACAACCCCTGCACAGACCCTGTCAGGCTGCCTTTAGGTCTCCCTGGAGCCAACAAAGGAATATTTTTTCTTTCCCAGGCTGTACAAGGGCAGTACCCTTGGTCTCTCTTTACATTGCAAATGCTATGGCTTCCTGACTGAACCGGTTGCCCTCTGTCAGGCTTGCTCCAATTTATAGATGTCTTACTTTTACTGGGGACCCAAAACTGGTTGCAGTACTCTAGATACAAAGAATCTTCCCTCTGGAGAAAATAAAAAGGGATTATTTTTTTTTCCCTGAAGGTCTCCACTTGTTTCCCTCGTTTAGGCACATCTGTGTGTACTTACTTCACACACACAGATATTCTGCACCTAAGTATCTCTCCCCTGATTTTGTATGAGAAAATGATACTTTACTTTTCCTGGATTATACTAATGTTAGTGAAAGTCAGATTGGTATAAAAATGCACATTTTAGTGCCATTGTTTACACATGTATGCATCCAAAATAGTTAATATATGCACACAGTCATTTCTTTTGTGACCAAATCCTTAAAATGTTATTGCGTGTTAAGGCACAAGTACAAGTGAAGCAGTTATCCCTTGTGTGCTTTAATGCGAGCCTCTAGTTTTTTTGGTTTCCTTTACTGTTGTTGGGTTTTTTGTTTTGTTTTGTTCTATTCTGTTTGTTTATTTGATTTTGTTTTCTTAAATTTGCTTCTTCTAAGTTAAAGGATGATGAAGTGTCCTGGTTCTGGCCAGGACAGGGTTAGTTTGTGCAGTACCCAGGAGGGCGCATGGCAGTGACCCAGAAGATATTCCATACCACCTCATGACATTTTCCAGTCTGGGGGGAGAAGGGAGTCTCTTCTGGGGAGAAGGGGCTCCTTCCCATCAGGATAGTGTAGCTGTGGTGAGAACTGTGCATGTGAATCACTCCCTCTCTCTTGTACACTTTGGTTATTAATATTGTAGCTGTTACTGTTCGTTTTCTTGTCACATCGCTGTTTCCAGTAAATTATTCTTATCTCAACTCCTGATCTTCACCTTCTGTGCCTCCAATTCTCTTTTCCATCCTGTTGCAGGGAAAGTGGGAGGGAGAAGGGGGAAATGAGTGAGTGGGATGAGGTTTGGAGAGTCTCAGCGGGAGCACTAAATTGGGGAGTACCATTCCTTAAACCAACGACGCATAGAAATCTCAGCTAAAAAAGAAAAAGAATAAAGCAGGGGAAATGCTTTTTGTAAGGCCAGGGAAGACCTATGAGCAAAAGGAGAAGTCACCAAATGAGCCAAAATTCTTAAGCCCCTGTCATGCTGGGGCTTAAGACAGAAAGTGTAAGAATCTGGCAAAGACATGAGAGAACAGCAGGTGAAGGGAATGTGCACCCGGCATTGTTACACTGCAGCTTTACAGCTCAGATGAAGACTGGAGCATGCGTGGAAGCCTCTATTTTGCTACCTGAGGAATTCTGAAATCCAAAAAAGAGAAGAACTCCAGGGAATACAGTCTTGAACAGCAAATCATATAGCTAACTCACTTGGATCAAAGCAGCAAACTTCCACTTCAGTTCAAAACAGTCTGTCTAAAAACACTCTCGGTGCTAATTCTAGACTACCATAGCATGGCAAACCCTGTGAGGAAATAAAAAGACCCAGAAGACATTTATACATGCATCCCTTCCACATACAAAGCAGAGTGAAAATTTTCATTCATTTGGGATGGCTTGGGAAATGCACTGTCTACCTTGTCACTCGTAATTACTGTGGCCGTCCCACCGTTGGCCTGGTACAGTCGCCAAAGCTTTATGCACATGTGACATATATTCTTTTCTGTCTCATTTGGCATGTGTTTAAAGTACTGTCACACTGTTGGATGGCAAGGGCTGTAGACACCAAAATGCTAAGAAGCTCATAATAATCCTCATAATGGTGTAATTAATTTATAATCAAGTAAAAAGATAGGCCTGAGACATCAAATGTTGCTGCTTATACACTTATAGGAGTCCTTGTTGCCTTTTACAACACTTGCAGGTTCAGCTCCAGGTGGCCTCTGACTTTTCAAGTCACATCTTTGTATGCTCTATGGCAATGTTTCCATACAGAGAGGTTGTGGAATCTCCATACTTAAACTGATTGAGGTTGGCAGGGACCTCTGGACATGGTCCTGGGCAACCAGGTCTCAGTGGCCCTGCTTGAGCAGAGGTTGGACAAGATGACCTCCAGAGGTCCCTGCCAACTTCCATCAGTCACTCTGTGGGTCCACTTTGGGAGACATGAGCCTCTGGAACAGTGAGGTAGGTAGGAGATAAAATCTTCTGCTTTAGATGTTACAACTTGTATAAATCAGTAGTGATACATGAGTTCTTGCCCCAGGGGATAATCAGGTGAGCATTTCCACACCTTATGGATAGATTTTGCAAATGTTGTCAGCCACTTACAGTGAAATTTTGGCTGTTCAAATTAAGAGCCTTAAGTTAATAACATGGTACATTCTAGTGCTGATTCCTGCAAGTCATTATTGTTAATATTTCTGGGATTTAAAGCATTTACACAAGTAAATGGCCATTGCTGCCTACTATACTTGTTAAACATTGTATGTTAGTGCAAACTTGATAGGCTATGCCAAAAATATAACTCAAAAATCAGTGAAAAGTCTCCTACAGTGTGCATAGACCAACACAAGCAAATTCTTAATCTCTGAAATATCAATTTTAAAAGATTACATTTCAGTTTTTTAAATTACTACAAAAAATAAACATTTAAATGAGCAATAAGGGCACCATAACAAATTCTTTTTAGCTTGGTAAATCATACCATAATTTGTGCACACACTAAATGCTGACCAAATTCATTAAATCCAATAATCACAAATTGCTTGGGGTTTCTATTCACTATTAACAGGCTTTAAATAAATGCCTATGAGATTTAGGAACAAAAGTTGTTTTTGAAACTTCCCTCCAAGGCTTTAATAAACTTAATGAGAAGGGGAAACTTGAAAAACCTCTAGAAACCCGAGTATTTTTCACTTGTGAATGCTGAAACACTGAAAACATACACAGTTCTGCTATTGCAAATGCTTTTCAGACATAACTAGTTCTCTTTATTTCCAATGAGTATAGTATTCACACTATATTTATTATTTACCTCTGTAGCCCACATCCCTCATCACAGACATTCAGCCTTCAGATTCACAATTTTCTGCTGTGTTGATGCCAATTCTCCTGCCTTTAACCTGCTGGCAGCTCTGTACACCCTCTCACACAGGAGGTCAGGATGAAATGAGAGCTGTAACCCAACATCACTCCATAAAACAACCTAACTCCTTCACTGGACCACACAGAGCTTTTTCCTTAGGGACTAAAACCCACTGATCCATGCAAATGTTCGGTGCAGCCCACCTAAATTAATGAGAATGGGTATTTCTCTCATTCTACGTACAGAGCATACAGAAATAAAAGGTAAATATATCGGGGTTGAAGAAGAAAACAGCCTTTTAGAATTACACAGTTTATTATTTTAAAATCTACATTGACTAAGTTAGGTATGTGCAAACAATCAGGGAAGAAACAAGCACTTATGTAATGTGGTTCTTTTGTCCACATGTTTTTAAGTGATCACATTGCCATAGTACAGCTTTTTAGTGTGAAAATCAGCCATCACCAACTTTTCACTTCCCTTAAAAGAAACTAATACAAAATTCAGGCTATAAGAAAAGGACTCCTATTTCAAAGAGATGGTTGGTGAGCAGTAAAGCAGAAATGCAGGCTTTGATTCATTGATGTATTCACATTTTTCCCAACAAATACCTATTTGATAAGGCCATTTCCTCACTCAGTCAGACTTCGTACAGAAAATTTCCCCTATGAGTCACTCATTCATATTAGAATCAATCATTTTACCTGTAATAAACACGCAATGTTTGGATTTCTTCTTCCAGTTTTTTGCACTGTTGGAGAGCAGCTTCTTTTTCTTGTTGCAAAGCTATCAATTCTGCCTGTGAAATGATAAACAACCGATAACCAGTTTATTCAGAATATCCATACTTTTTGGGAAACATCAATCTGTGCAATCATTTCAACCATTACAATTGCACACATAGAGTTATACAGTTATGTAATGCAGTGCTGTGGTTTAACCACAGTTGGGAACTAAGCACCATGCAGGTGCTTGGCCACTTCCCCTTCTTCCCACTGATGGCATGGTGAGGAGAATCAGGAATGAAAAGAAAATCAAACTTGTTGATTGAGAAAAGAACAGTTAAATGTTAAATAACAGAAACAAAGTAAAAGATTATAATAATGATACTAATAGGAGTAATTGTAATAAGAAGGAGAGGGACAGAGGGAGATAAATCCCAAGACAGACAAGTGATGCACAGCACAACTGTTCACCACCTGCTGACTAATGCCAAGCCTGTCCCTGAGCCGTGATCACACCCTTTCCTGGTAACTCCCCCCATTTTATATGCTGGGTGTGATGTTCTATACACAGAATATTCCTTTGGCCACTTTGGCCAGTTGTCCTGACCAGGCTCCCTCCCAGCTTTTTGTGCACCTCCTCACTGGCCGTGCAGGAAACACTGAAAGTCCTTGACTTGGGGCAAGCACCACTTAGCAACATCTAAAGCATCAGTCATCAACATTATTTGCATACTGAATTTAAAACAGTGCACTGTACCAGCTACCAGGAAGGAAATGAGCACTATTTAATTCTTATGAAATATTCCCTCTTTTTCTAGCACTGAAATTGTTTCTAGTTTTTTGGTTTTTTTTTTTCCTAGCAGAATTATGTTTCGAATGGCTTCTCCCATGTATACAGTAAGCTTTTTGAATACCTAAGGTTAGAACTCTTCAGTTCAGCCAAGTGGTTATCAGCAAACTTATTTCATATGAAATATATGTGTTGCTATACTGCAAAACTGGTAACCAACACATAGACAGTGAAGCAAGTCCCTTGGCCATGAACTACTGACACATGACTTTGGTCTGCACATGGCTCCCTGGCTGTTAAGGGCAGTTCCCATGGTGGCAGCCCCTGGCTGATGTTAGCAGCAGAAGAGCTGCTGGATAACCAGAACCCTGAGCAGTGGCAGGCAATGAGCCAGCAGGGACTGCAGAGACTGGCACCGACAGCATATGCTGAGATCTGTGTGCATTCTCACCCAGGATCTGGTTTATAGAGGGGTGAGGGAATCCCTAAGCAATCACTGTCATCTCCCATCTGTGAACCCCACTGGATACTCCCCCTCCCATCCTTGATTCACTCTGAAGGGAGTGTGACTCATGACTGTAATGGAAATTGCAGCATGTGGCTTGTAAGTCAGGAAGGTAGCCAGCCCCAACAGGCCTTACAGTTAAAGAGGAGGCAGGGAGAAATAAGTATTCATGCATATTTCATATGGGTCTATAACTTAATCACCATTAATTTTAGAAGTCCAATTTCAATAGCACTGCAGGACTGCCTTGAGGGCCCAGGTACCATATAAATTATTTTTAAATCAGCGGATGATTTATAGTTGTAACAACAAATAAGATCAGGCTTCCACAGCAATTCCTTGACACATGAGCCTGAGCATTGGGCTGTTTTCCAATGTTTTTAATTCATGGTGTAAGTTATTAATTGTACAAATTGTAGAGCCCTTAACCAAGAGGCACATGTGTGAAAAATGCCAACTGTGGATTCTGCCAACTCTTTGGGACACAGTTGCGGAAAAGTTTCTTGGTAAATTAAAGACCTGTTATATGAGCTACAAACCCATGAAGGGAAATGCACATAGTTCAGCCTCTAAGTCTGCCAAACTCACTGTATAATCATGAACAGCTCTGCCTGTATGCCTCAAAATCTCTCTCCTAAAACAGAGCTCCCACTTGCTTCTGTTTCCTGTTTGTCTCTTAAGACTGTAAGTCCTCAAGGCAGGTGTTTTACTGTTTACTGTCAACTCCCAGTCATCTATGGGCAATTCATTCTGCTGGTTGATTAATCATGTCCTGGATACTTGGCTGATTCCTGGCAAATTTTATTGAATAGTGCATTGCACAAATGCAGCTACACAAGCAGTCTCTGAACCGTGCTGCTCGGTGGGTCATGTTGCACCCAGGGTTTTGCACTGCCCAGGTACAGGACCCACTGCTGTAATTGCTCCTGTGTGAGACATCCAGAAAATTTTAACAGGAAGTTCCCTGGTGAATAAAAACTTTCTTACTATATGGGAAGAAAGTAGCTTAACTTCTGCTTTAAAAGCAGAAAGTGTTAATGTTTAACATCTGAGTGACAGTGGTTTTGAGCTTCTGATACCAAAAACAATGTAGTGGATGCTGGCAAGCCCTAACTTCTGTCAGCAAGAGGTTAAAATCCTCTGCAGGTGAGCCTCTTGCCTGGTGTAGCTTGCTGCCTTGCAAGCAGAACTCACAGAACACAAGATGTTAGCCAAACCAAGCTATTTTCTGTAATTATACTGTTCTGTAGGTGAAACAACATTCTTAAAAATTGGAAAACACGCTTGAATCAAAGTAGGTGGTTTGTTCTAGAGGCCAGTAATTAACATCCTTGCCAATTTTCAGTGTACTGTGAAGTGTGATTGAAATGGTAGACTGGAAGGAAATGTTTGCAGCTGACACACCTACTCAGAGAGATTAACGGCTAGTCTCTTTGGAGAACTATCATAAAAAATACACCTAATGTTCCACTTGCCTTTCAGGACAAGAGTCAGAGGCACTGGAGTCTTAAGACTTTTATTTATGTCAGTTTTTCAGCAGAAAAAATGGCACTGATTGGACTGGGTTTGCATCTGGGTTTGTACCAATAAAAATAACAGCAGAATCAAGTTATTTGGATTTAAAAAAAACCCAACAAACCCAAGAGCTACAACAAGTGAAGGGAAGAAAAATAGACATTTTTTAGTCTCCTTAGTAACTTCTAGTGGAGTTGATACTAGGAAGCTTCACGAGACCAACAAAAATCCAAGTACAAGAGTCTCTGTGCACAGCATGCAGCCATGTGACAAAATGACCCATTGTTTCACAGGCCTGAAGGGTGGTAAACACAAATAAATAAGACCAATATCCTCCCAAGACAGAGATGCCTTCCTTCACTAGAAGAAGGAAAGCAAAACAGTGCCCATCACCAAGTTAAATTGCTAACTAAAACAATGGCATCTGCTCTACTATAAAGAATTTGGAAGACTCCTAAATGTATATTGAAATCCATCCATAGTGCACATGGCAAAAATCCTGCATGAGCTCACCTCTAGTAATAACAATAGCTGCTTGAGAACTTTTTAACAAAATATTGTTCTTCTGGAAAATGTCAAGCTGTGGAAATCAGAACTTTTCACAGAAATTGATTTGTTTTGATTAAATTGTTTTGGAAGGTAGGGTAAAGAAGAAGCAAGAAGAATTACACCCAGGTTCCTCTGGTGGTGGTTTCCCTTAGAAAGGTCAATTTAGAGTTGAGCTTGGTCACCTTTTGGTACAGGTGTCACTCTCAGCAAAATACCTGTTTAACCCTGAAAGGCTATTCTGATCACTCAGATACTGTGAAAAATATTTCTGAAGATTTAATTTTTTTTCTTTGTCCAGAAATTCCTACACTTTCATATTTGGTTTAATTTGCATAGATCCTTTCCTATTCTCTGGCCCCCTATCCGCCTTCCTGCAAAGGAGAATTCTCGTTTCCTTACTTTCTCATTTTGCATTTTAGCAGTTATTTGGTGAAGAATTGAATTTTCCAATTAAATATAAAATGTAATTGCTACCTATCAAACTTAAAATAGCTGATCTCAACTAAAGAAAATCTCAGTACTGATCTTTTTGCTGTTGCTTTTGCATCAAAATATTTAAAGGAACAATGTTATGTGTTTTCTTACCACAAAGTCTGGAAAAACACAAGGCTTAAGCAAAGGGAAACAGAGGGTAAAACCAGTTTTTATCTTTTCCTAATTCCTCTAGGGCAAACATGGGCACCCTCAACTGTAATCTAGATTGAAAGAGGTAAGAACACACAGCATCCTATGCTGTCAGGTTCTCTTTGGAACCTCACCTTTGTCTGAGAGATGGCTTTTGTAAGACTTCTCAATATTCAACAGAAGGAAAAAAAATCCAATTAACTTGACTAATAAATTTTCATAGCTTTATTTCCAATTGATTTATTTTCTCATGCATTTATAGACAGCATATATATTCCTCAACATATGTATCTATATATCTATATCTGTATCTATAATAAGCATTTATTTTTCCTTTCTGAGATAGGCTAAACAAACAACTTTTTTTGTTACCTCTGACTAAGCAGGCTCCTCATTACCCTGATCAATTTAAACACCTCTCTCCTCAGTATTCTTACTAATGCCAGTGGAAACCTCCTACCTGACACATTCTTGCATTCTTTTTGCTCACAATCACCCTCCAGCCTGTTCTCCAGCATACTGGTATTACCCAGTTGACAGTGGAAACTTATTCATCCTGAAAGGATAATACCTTACACTTGGCACCAAAATCCTACCCCACTGCTTTTGTTTTCCCAGTACTTGAGGCCATCCCAATCTTCCTGCAAGACAGCTTGAACCTACTTTGTATTAATAATATCTCCATGTCTTATTAACAACTCTCTTATTAACAACTCCCACCCCTGTATCATCAAGGAATTTTGTTGCTACACTGCTGCTCTTCATGCCAAAGGTTCTCAATGACAGCATTAAAGAAAACTGGTTCAGCACCAACTGGTAAGAAATTGGAGAGAAATTCCACTAGTGAAATCCTTGGACCTTAACATTTCTTCCTTCAAAGCTGTTTGCTGCTGCCTTCCTGCTAACTAGTTCCTTATTGCCTTTGACTAATCCTTCATCTCCTTCATGGGTACATGACATTTTGAAGACAGACATGAGCTAAACGTGCCCATTCTTCCAAACAAGAGACTCTGGGTGAACCCAGCTAACAGCAAGCAGCATTTCCCACATTAAGCTTGTGCCTGCTTGTAAAGTAACAATATACACATTCC